CAAGTTTCTAAAGAGCAAGAATGGCAGTTCAAGGACTAAAGTGTGCCTGTCCCAAGTTAGGGTATGTTCAGCTCTGTTGGCATAGTCCTAGGGAGTTGCACTGCTAATCCATAGGCCACACCCCCCTGGGGGGTTGAATCTATCAACAGCTCCGAGGGAAAAAGATGAGCAAACTCCTCCTATGTCACAGTCTTAAAAGCTTATTAGAGGGTCAGCTATGCATTTGTTCCAACTAGACAGCAATGAGTAGAGTTTTGAGGTTCATATACATTTATTGGACAATAAATAAGGGAGACCAAAGAAGAATCAAAACCTTTGCATCATGTTGTTGGCAAAGATTATACCATGTTGGCAAAGATTAACAGTAACAGATTACATAATGAATATACCAAGGACTTCTTCAATGAATACACAATGAAAATATGCAATTAATTACTTCGATGAATATACTTCAATGGATTACACAATGAATATACCAAGGACTTCAATAAACAAATCTGTCTTGGATGAAGTGCAATGATGATGCTCTTCAGAGGCAAAGATGATGAAATTTCATTTCACATGCTTTAGGCATATTTTCAGAAAACATTGGTCTGTTAGAAAAACACTGTGTTAGGCAAAACAGAGTGCCAGTGAAGAGAGAAAGGCCTTCAATGAGACAGATTGACACAGTGATTGCAACAGTTGACATGACCACAGTGGAATCGATGGCACAGGATAGGGCAAAATTTTGACCTGTTGTTGTTTTGGATAAACAATGAATTGTAGTCAACTTGACAGCACTTAACAACAACAATATATCATATATAATAGCTTTGAATGTGTAAACTCATACTTTACTACTCATCATGTTGTTACTGTTATTGCTAGATGCTATTGAGTTGACTATGTCTCATAGCAACCCTATGGACAACAGATCTGAACCTTGTCCTACCCTATATCATCCTTACAATGTCTCTCACACACAAACTCATTGCCACAGTCACTGTGTCAATCTACCTGGTTGTGTGCCTTTCTCTTTTTCACTGTCCCTCCACCTTTTGAAACATGAATTCCTTTTCCAAGGAATAGCCTCTCCTAGAAATATGCCCAAGAAAGTCCCCTAGAAATATGCCCAAGAAAGTTCTGATAGCCTAGTGGTAAGAAACTGTGCTGCATTCCTAAAGGACCGCTCAAATCTGCTACCTGTTCTGAGGGAGAAAGATGGACAATCATGGACAATCCTCTGTGCTATTTATTGCCCCTGAAAAGCCATTGGAGAGTCAGTCATGGACTAGTTCTGACTCACAACAGCAGCAACATCTCAAAGTATGTAAGACAAGGCTTCACTGTCCTTGACTCCATGGAGCACTCTGGCTACACCTTCTCCAAAATATACTTGTTTTTCTTTTGGCAGTCCACAGGATATTCATATTTTCCTCCAACACCACAGTTTAAAAGCATAAATTCTTTTGTCATCATTTGTTATTTTCCAGCTCTCAGCAGCTTAGCAAATGGTTGAAAAGACCATGGCTCTGAATCAGGCACACCTTAGTTCTCAAAGTAACTTATATATTACTCTGGAGATGAAAAGGTGAGGAAAAATGGAGTTGCTTTCATAGTTAAGAAAGCCATTGCTAGATCCATCTTGAAGTACAATACTGTGAGTGACAGGATAATATCCATACACATACAAGGAAG